CCTACAAAGAATTTAAAAAAAAAAGTGAACTGAGTTATGAATTGAAAAGACTAAATCTTTAGTAATATTAAGGTTTCAGTTCCATCTTTTATTGCTATATAAGCCATCGTTGATTGTATAATGGAATAAAAATAAATGGGATGAATGAAATAACCTTTCCTACGGATTTCATATTTTCTGATAGTAAGTTGTAAATGACAATTAATATTTAATCAAAAACAAAGTTTGTTTATTTTACTTTAGATAATAAAATGCAGACGATCAGTGAAAGTAAAAGTCTACATATTAATTATTTTTTTTAAATAGGTTTTTAAAGAATCGGTAAAAACTAACAGAATTCATCTTAGAAGTAATAAATTCAAGCAGAGGTGTGAGACAAGAATTATGGAGGTAATAAGAGAGAAAAGGAATGGATGTATTGCACAAGGAAACCAGGATGATAATTACTACAAACTGAAAGAAAAGGGAAAGAAGTTGATGTGCATTGAAGCTGAAGTAGAGGTCCCCCAACTTAAAGTTAATAAATTGGATGAAGATAATCATGAAGTGATGCTACAGGAATTTTGTGAAGATACTGAGGAATTAAAAATGACTATAAGAGAAAATAATAAGTCACTTTTGCTGTTGAACAATGAAATTAATATACGAGAAGACCTAATAAGTAAGAAAAATGAAGAAAATGCAATACTGCGTAATAATAATGAAACACTTGAAAAATCATTACGAGATAAAAAAATGGAAAATGAACAAATCAAAAATAAATTGAGTAGAAGTCAGGAGAATACACAAAATAAAGATATCTATATTTTGAACCTTCAGGAAAGGTTGCAAAATAATACGAATGAAAAGAAACTTCTTGAAGGGCATATAAAAGAAGTTGAAGAGCAAAATCAAAAGTTGATAAAGCAAATAGATGATAAAGATATTCTAATGACAGAAGATAAACAGAAAATTAAAGAACAAATGGATGAAATTATGGCAAATAAAAAGCTTCAGCAATCACAGATAATGAACGACAATCTGTATTTGTTCATCATTGTTATGCTCCTAATTTTGATATTTACAGGGATATTAATCTATCTGCTCTCTACTTATTCCTGGTATCATCCAGGTACTATCATAATGACGGCAGCAATTGGTATGATGATAATCAAATTGTTAATAACTGGTAAAGATATAAATATTTGGTATAACAAGTATAAGACTGAAAAGTAAAAACATTAAATCAAATCTGGCATAAGCATAAATAGATAGTTTACATTATAACAATGTGAAGACAGTTGAGAAAATAAAATACTTTCTGAAGAGAGAAATTTAGTATTTTGTCATAATTGTGAATTCATATTTGTCAGTATTTAATATTTGATGTTGCTGGTAGCTAAGAAAGGTATATGTGGTATGATATGTCATTATCCTGGTCTAACTTTTATATCTGCAGATATGTGGTATGTTTTGCAGGGAAGAGATAGTTTTAATCATTTTTGTCAGTAAAAAATAAATAAATAATATATAATTTATATAAATATATAAATGTGATAGATGATACTGATACAAGTTCTCCTAAACGCATCCATATAAAATACATACATGACTGCATTTATATAGCGCTATTTCATGAGTTCGCGCTCAACATGTTGACCACCATAATATAAGAGAACCTTTTTTGTTCTCTAAGGGTCTGTTCGAGTCTGAGCTATCCGGTATTTTGGACACCAACTATAGACTCTTGTCTGTCCTTAACAATATAAGAATAGCTAATATTACGACAGAGTGATGAATACTTCTGTAACTTATTATTAATAGATCAGCATACAAAAATAATTGTAATCATTATACTGGTAAATAGGCTTAGTAATTTGTTTTAATTATAAAATGAAATTTTAAAAAATATACATGGAAGAATAAGTGAAGAAATAGTGAATAGTGTCAGAAATATTTTAATTCATAATACTTAATTCAATATTACTAATTATTATTTTTATTATTATTATTATTATTAGTAATATACTATTATCATTAGTATTATTAGCCTTTTGTATTCTACACGTTTACAATATTTATGTATCCATTTGTCTTCTACCAGTAAGTGGCAAATTCTGTATAAATAAAACAAACAAACAAACAAACAAACAAACAAACATGGACTATAGAAACAGTAGTAAATATTGATTTAAATAGTTTAATAGAGTTTTAACACAATGTTACATAATTGGGGAGTTAGTGAAAATTTAAATATTGTCATATTCCATGCACATGAAATGTTAAATTATATTCTTAATGCTGACAGCTAAAACAACAAAGACAAAACCCCAATGGGGACCACAGTTCCTATTAACGTTACCTTTAATATTTAGAATGTTAAAGTGCTGTATTCGCAACTGTTGTTTTTGTTTCGTCAATTACTACTAACCTACTATTACTCTGGCTGAACAATTTGGGTTTTTACAGGATACAAACAGGACTAATTCAACCAAGTTTTGCAAAGCACTAGGGAACAACATAATGAAAACAGCCAGTAAACACATCCTACATCATCTTATGGTTGAATAAACCTACAGTAGTAACTTTAACTGACAGTAGGCCTACTGCATAAGACCATCTTTGCTCTCTTCTCAAGTATAATAGTTATTGATTTTCTTTTGAAGTTAGTATATTCTTTGTATAATGACAGCCTCTCAGTTTAATTAGGTTGTACCACTGTAAATGAGGTTTGTTAAAAATCATATGCCACAAAAAATCTATTTAATGACTAAACTATTTTTATTTAGCGATAAAGTAATATAGGAGTAACAGCATGCACAGAGATATGCATCAATCATTTAGATAAAATATTTCAATGTTATATAATGTAATTATGGCTTTCTATCACATTTTTACCTTCAAGAGTAAATTAGTACCGTTTGTTATTCTATTCTAGCACACTGGTATTTCCAATCGCGATTCGAAAATTCGAAAACGTCACACATCAAAGTCATTATTTCAAACACTTCATGTTCGGAAACATCATAAAGATATTATCTTCGGTACTTCAATAATTTTATTGGATAAAAAGACTGAGGATTTACAAATAAAGTGAAAAATTATAGTAGAAGTCAATGGTGTTGCTGTTGATGGTTTCTATTAAAAAAAACAACACATTTACCAGGTAAGTGGATTTAAATTCATCCCATTCCCACAAACAGGATCACATACTAAATTGAGTAATAAAAAAAATGTTTCTTACGATGTACCACCCAGGCAATATCCTTGGGATCTTTATAGGATATTTTTTTCTGTAGGGGAGTACAGTATAACACTGACAAATTAGGAAACAGCACTAAAAATCTAGACTTACTATGCCTGTTTGCAAAACAAAACATAGAGAAAACTGATTAAAATTATGAACACACATTTTTTTCCCCAGTACTATCAGAACTTGGAACACCCTACTACTACTAGTACACTCAGTTACAGCCCCCACTCTGGAAGCCTTGAGGGCTGGCAAAAACTGCTATAAAGTTGTAGCAAATTTTAGGAGCACTGTACAGCACTTTTAATGTCTTTTGCATCCTGGTGAATTTTGTCTTTCCTGCATCGCACATACTCTTAAGTTTCGACAAGACTCTATGTGGAGGAAAGCAGCCTATAAAGAAGGCAGCAAAAACTGTTTATGCATTTCATAGTAATATTTTGTTGTGCTTTAAAAAATGCAAATTGCATTACGTTTAACATTTTACTACCAGTTCTAAATGTCCTTTTTTGGCTAGATTGTTCCATTTTCATAGGCTGTGTATTGCTGTCTCGCAAAACCTGAACTTTCCAGCATTTCTGACTCTCTACCATGATACTGTACATCAGCCAACTCAATAGTATCAAGCATGAGACATGAGTCAAACACTCCATGGTTAATGCCACATCTGTGGATTTTTTTTGTCCACCAAATATTGTCCAAAACAATCTTTTTTATACAAGGATATTTTTAAATACTAATAAGTTAGAACTAGTGTTTGATATTTGGCAAAATTTTTCTCCAATATTTATTCTCATAGAAATTTTAAGTTTACCAAGAGCCCAATCACACTTAAATGTTACGTCGGCCCAGGGCCGCCTCGGTGCCGGCATTTTTTAAGTGTGAACAATCAATAAATGTTAAGCAGGCCCTGAGCCGACCTAACATTAGTCCGACTTTTGAGTCGGCTCGAGTCCCGCAATGTGGGATCTGGGCCGGCCCTGGGCCAACCCAACTTTATATCTGAACGTAAGCTGAACCTGAGCCGGCCCAAGTTCGCTCTGATTGCGCTCGAATTTGACATTTTATCTACCACAACATTCATTCGAACTGACTTGCGCAAAAAAACACCATTGAGAAATAAATTGTTAAGGAAATTGTAGAGTAAATTGTATTCAGTTGAACTATTGTTTTTGAATAAAAGTTGTTATATATATTAAAGGTCTCAATGCCTAACTAATTATTACTCACAGCCTCCGTGCGAAGCATAAGCATCATGAACCAAGTTGTAAAGGTGGGGAAATACCACGTGATACAAAGCTTACGCATGGGCACTTGGGCAGATGACATATGCTTTGACTTTCTTTTCTACAGTTGAATTCCAGTAGAGAAAAAATATATAAGCCTATTACAAGCTCAAAGACAGCCTGCTTTTTGTATAGCACACATTAATTTTCCAAAAATCAATAACATTGTATAGCGGTATCATTCTTTCTGGGAACGTCATCCTCACCAACCATGTGCGTTTTGTGGCGATGTTCGTGAAGCTACTCACGTGACCCCGAGGACCGAAGAAAATAATCGTTTGTTAATGTTATGAGCGAAGCTGATTCTAAAAAATTGTTTGTGAATGAATATAATATGGAAATAATTATTATTGCCAAATACTGTAGATAGATGTCGATGCTACTTATTCACAATCTGTGTCCAAACATTGACAGCAACCTTCAGTCTTACAGGCCTAAACAGTTTACAATATACAGGTATGGTAATCGCGAGTCTGGTTTTGCACAGAGTAAAGTCGAGCTGCGCTAATTATGGGCCTTGGTTATTATAATAATTATCGTCGCCATAATCATGAAGCAGAATGCTACGCTTAAAAAAATCGAAAAAGTATAAGGACAATATTTGAAATTTGTTCATGTTTCGCGCGAATTCCATGGGTTTATGCTAGGTTGTGATTTACCGTTCCACCATCATGTAATGCGATCGCCTCAAACTTCTGTTCTGCAATTCATCGACCCGGCCCAAAGGAGACGTGTGAACGTTCGTAAGGCGACCCTGGGCCGACTTAACTGTGAATAACTGTGAACAGGAAAATTTGTTTGAGTTGGCCTTGAGTCGACCTTATTTAAGGCGGCCTTGGGCCGACCCGGCCTAATAAGTGTGATTGGGCTCTAAGATGCTGATTCTCTGCAGTGGCATTTATGCTATTAGCACATAATTTTCAATTCTGACAAATACAATGTTTGCCTGAGCTGGTCGCATATTTGAAAACCGTTGTTATTTGACCACATTTAATCATGTTTCTAGTTATACTATAGAAGCAATAACGTCTTTACAAATCTCTATATTAGGAAATAAAATGAATGGAGTTTATATTTTTTTCAATACTGTATCTCAGTTTTAATTTATAATTAATATAATTATTGTTTGATACATTTACCTCTAATTTTACATTGTATTCTATTTTGTATTGAATGTCCAAATGATCAGCTTCAGCTGGTTAGACCACCCTTGCAAATCACTGTTGAAATAATAATCTTTGTCAGTGAATATGCATTTTCTCAATACCATTTGCAAACAATCTAAGCATATAATCGTCTCTCAATTATATTTACAAATATAAAGTGAATATGTCTTTTGTGTATTAAAGCTTATTTGGACAGTAAAAGGCAGATGACTCTCTAGGGTAAAACATAGATTCCAAAAAAAAAAATATTGAAACAAAGTGAAAACAGTACTATACCATATTGACCCCAGGCACTTATTGACAAGGGTCAATATTTGCCACACAACAGGTCTGCATAAATTAAAGGCTAATCACTTTTGCTATTTTTCACAGATTTAAAGATGTCAGCAAAACCCAAAGCAACAAAGATGGAATGAAGGAGAAAGGAAAGGGAAAATATCATTGAAAAAATAAACAAGCAACTGAAATACAACAATGCTGAAAATATGGAAGATGGATTAGAAGAAAACGTTTTCAGGGATATTAATGAGGTTTCCAAATGTTATGTGAAAGAAAAGAATAAGTCAAGGGAACTTGTGACAAATGAAATGAAGTTTCTAAGTTAGTAAAACACAATTTAATAAAAAAAAATCATTCAGATAATATTCAACAAATGTTTCATAACATTAGGAATATGGGAATACATTAGTGTGAGGATATTCTAATACAGAAATCATATTACAAGATAATTATGTTAAAAAAAATGTCCATGTATAAGCAGGCTGACAGTGTATGATGACAAAACTGCAGCATACCCTCAAGAAATTGATGGAATCGCCTGTCCTATTTAGGTACATTATTTTCCTGAATACTGGCTGAATACAAGTAGCAATTCCATTATTTTCTCCTATGATCGAGAGAAAATAATTGAATTTCCACAAACTTGACCTTGTCCTTTGATTTTTCCAACATTCCACTAGATTTTATGATGATCCATTACTTAGTTTTTGGTAACCTTGCTAACAGACAGATAGCAGTTAATACATAACATCCCTGTGGGAGGTAATATTTGCTTATTTAATTATTACATTTTACTACACACTAAATATAAAGTTTAAGGTGACCATAATATTTGAGCTCTGTTTACTGTATAAGATTTACCCACCAGTTAAACTTAAAAACTTGCCTATAATATTTCAAATCTAAATTTCCCTTCTAGAAATTTGTATCGTAACTCCTATTCTGGGCCCCTCTTTTCAGGACAAAAGTTAAAAGAAAATATTCGACCCGAATTTTTCAGTAACTGGAAAGAATTATCATACTGTGGTAAGTATTTAATATCTATATTAACTATTCCTAAAAGATTAAAAGCATTGCCTTAAATATACACTACTGTTATTTCTAAACAATAAACAGTTTTGAACAACATTGACTAAAAAAAAAATAACCATAATATTGGTTTATTTAAATATAATTATTAAATATAATAGTACATTATGTATTTGTATGTTTACACAATGTACAGACATACATGTATTTCCAAAGACTTGTACTTACATATATATTTTTTTAATGCATCATCATTAATCGCTATCTCCGCCTACGATAGAATGCACACTAACATGCGTTATTTGTTTCCACAGTTCTCTGTCTTTGACAAGCATGTTAAGAGAAATTATATTGTGGCTATTCCATGCTATGATATTATCTTTCCACCTTTTAGGTTGCCGACCCCTATTTCTCTTTCCATTAATCTTGCCTTCCAAACAGATTGCTGACAATCCATTCGTTTAGTGTGCCCAAACATTTTGAGTACTTTACTCTTGATAACAGAGGTGATTAATCGTAAATGCATTATTCTGTCTCAGATTACCAATTCTGACATTCTGATATTTAATGCATTGCTCCCATTAAAATACTAAAAACATTGTATTCCAAAATAAAAATTTAAAAGTAAAATTTACACTGCCTGGTAGTTAAATGTTAAATTTTTTAAATGCTTGTTTATCCTGCTCTATAAATATAGGTAATCTGTTTTGGAGTGATGAGTTTACAAACCACACATTACAGGCACGAAAACGGGAGGAGGAGGAGAAGGATAACAAATTCACAGAAGCAATGAAAAGAAAGACTGAGGAAATGGTCACAAAATTTAAAAAAATGAAAGACAAAATAGAATGCTTGGAAGGTGAAAATAATGATTTACAGTTCAAGGTTAAAAATCAAGAACACATTAATACTCGGCAAATGCTTGAAATTGAAAGACTATCAAGTGAAAATGAGAGCTTGAATATACAATACAATGAGTTACAAATACAGGAAATTGATGAACAAGAAAGACAGACAACAAAGTTCTATGATAAAATCTCAAACCTACGCAAAGAGACACAAAATCTACACGAAGAACAACAAGAATTGGAGAAAAAAATTACAGATAAAGACAGAGAAATTCGAGGCCTCAAAAATGAATTGAAGAATGATTCAAGGAATATGAAAGGTAAAGAAGAGGAAATTTCTACATTGAGGAAAGAAATTAATGCTATAATGGAAGAAAGACAAGACCTAATTGAAAAGATCAAGAAAATGAAAGAACAGATGAGACAAAAGGATGAGAAGAAGGAACAAGAAATTAGACAACTAACTGAGAAAATAAACATTCTGGATAAAAAGTCTAAGGAAAAACAAGAAATGCTCCATGATTGTGAAGAAGGCAAGAAGGATCTAAGTGACAGGATTAAGGAGTTGGAGAACCAAATCAAAGCTATAGAAAAGTACATTAACGAGCTAAAGATTGATGCAGAGAAAACTATAGAAAAAATACAACACAATGAACAATTGAGGCAAACAAGCTACAAAAATAGTGAATTTGACACTACCACCACTCTGGAGATGAGAGAAAGGGATGAGAAGAAGGTAGAAGACATAAAAAAATTAATGGAGCAAATAAGGAATCTGTGTCTGGATGAAAAGCATGTTTGTGAAGAAGACAAGAAGGAAACGATTAAGAAATTGGAGGACCAGATAACAGATATAGTACGAACAAGCCAAATGGCCGAGCGGTTAAGACAAGGGCATCGTAACCAAAGCCAACAAAATCGGCAAAGGTTGGCGGCCAGCTCGCTCGTATAATTGTAGTTGTGGAACAAATTCTTCTGGAATACGGACTATACACTGAGGCCCAGTGTACACAAAATGTTCTTGTGCACTTTAAAGAACCCAGTACATCTGTTTAGATGATAAAGGGGTTACCCCGGTGTACTGGACACTTGACCCCTGTCATGGACAGATGAAAGTGCACTGGTTTACTGGCTGCTGAGGAAATGAAGTGACCCTTAGGGGAGGCGAAAATTATTGAACAGTGTAACATCTAGTCCTATTGCACATGTCAAGCAGTCCACGTATCAAGCGCCATGAGCATCTAGTTTGATGGATACCGGCGCTATACGAATCTATGCTTTTATAATTATTATTATTAGTAGTAGTACAATCAATCTGCCAAATGATTTCAACTGTATTGTACTTCCTGTAGAACCCTACAACAACATATTAAAAATCTAAAGAAAAAAAAACATTTAGTGGAAGTCACTTTAAATTGCTTTTGGTGTCAAATTTTTCAGAATGTGTATATTCCTATTCAGTCTCATGGGAAATGTGGTCTGAACATTATTAAGGCTACAGTCACACTTGAGTCTCAAGCCTGGCTTGGCTCACCGCGGGTGAGATTTCAAGCCAGGCTCGAAATTCTGGGTCGGTCACACTACCTGAATTTAGTTGGATTGACCTCCAAATTAGGAAAGCCGAAACAGGAAGTTAGAGTGCCGCCACAATCAAAATACCGGCCTAGGCTCGAGTGTAATAATAATAATAATTTTGACTTATATAGCGCATTATGCTAAAGCCTCAATGCGCTTAACAGTAAAAATAAAATTCGGGGAAAAAAAATTAAGAAAAATACAAGCTAAAAAGGTGAGTTTTTAAAGCTGCCTTAAAATCATCAATGGAAGTTGCCTGTCGGATTGCAAGCAATGGACTGTCTTGTATCCCTGAGTATTTGATTCATTTAATAATGCCTCCAACAGAATCGAGGTACTGTATTGGCTAAATCATACTTAACGTGAACTGTACAACATGGAACATTGAACAGGTTTCCGTATAGTTGAAGTAACATTTAACTTTTGTCATTTGCTACTTAAGGTCAGGCTCCGGAAGAAAAAAATTTTTGATATGTTGTAGAACTGATTTTTCTAAGACAGAAAAAAGTTGTTTGACGAAAAACTGGGGAACGGTGAATGAGATACAGATTTTTTAATATTTAAAAACTGGGGGAAAAAGGGGCCTAACTGCCCATTTTTACACATTATTCCCCCAGTTTTTAAACATATCAAAATTTTTTTTTCCTCCGGAGCCTGACTTTAAAATATTTTTGGAGCATTGTGTTTTATTAATGATAGGCTGCATGAGATATTGATTAATTCCATGCATAGAATAGTTTGCATGATATTTCTATAAACTTATGCTGTTATGAATGAAATGATTTTCATGATATACTAATTGAATCCATGCATTATATAGTTTGCATGATATTCATAATTCTATGATAACTTATGTTGTTATGAATGAAATAATTTGCATGATATACTATATGATTTTATTTTTCAGTATTTTTTAAAATTGAATTATAAAAAAAAATAGTTGTAGAAACAAATAGGTATGCAGCTACATTACTAGGAACAGTTGCATCTGAACATAGTCGACTATGGTATGATACAACTATTGAAGAAATGAAAGCATTTATTGCTTTAGTTTTAGTTTTTTAGATCGTCGTAGCAGTTACAATAAACATTGGTCTACAGATTGGATGTTGGAGTAACAAGGTCAAAAATCTATAATGTCAAAGAACAGATTTTTTTTATTACTTAAGTGTTTACATCTTGTAAATAATAAACCTTATTCATGATAAATTGTTGAAGTGCAGATCATTTACTGACCAAATAATATCAACGTTTCAAAGGGCATTCCATGCTTTTCGAGAGGTATCCGTTGATGAATCGATAGTTGCTTTCAAAGGACGCTTCAATTTCATGACATATAAACTAAAACCTCATAAGTGGGGGATGATGACGTGGACTCTTGAGGATACTAGAACAGGCTACATATTTAATTGGAATTTGTATTGTAAAACAAGAAATACAAATATTGAAATTGTAAAGCGCATTTGCGAGCCACTTTATGGACAACCACATCATGTATACATGGATAACTATTTTTCCTCACTAACTTTCTTCGAACAATTCGAAGCTGAGCGATTAGTTGCGTATGTGGAATACTAAAAAAGAACAGGACTGACATTCATAATGAAATCAAACAAGCCACACAGGAGGTTGAGGAAGAAGCGATAAAAGCTACAGATGGGAACACATTTTATTTTGCTTGGATGTTTTAAACATCAGGTTGCACCTCCCAAACTCTGTCCGCTGATTGGTTAATTTTTTTCGTGGGGTCATGGATGGACAAACGTGCTTGGCTGTGATGACGTCAGATCACCCAAAGTTACATAGTGCGTGACAGCTTCCTGACAGGAACAAGACTGATAAATTTTGAATTAAACAAGTTTATTAAAAACAAATACGAAACCCTTAAAGTTTTGTTTTAGAGTCAAATCTAAATAAATCTTATAAATTTAAATTTCATTCTGTACAAATTTGGTTTTGGTTTAGCGTGAAATTTGGTTTTCTGGGCATTCCGAATTTGGAGATTCCACTGTACAATATTTTGATTGGTTAAAAAGATGCAAGACTGACTTTTCCCCAAAGGTTAAATCCACAAATCGACATCACATCACCTAAGAACTTCTCTAAGCGGTTGGCAATGTATGTAAGTGCGTGGATGATACCTCAGAAACTAGCTTAAACTTGCACAAAATCTGTGAAAAATTTGGCCCTTATTTCCCAAAATGCGCTGACGGATTTCTTTGCGCAGAGGATAGACCTAGGCCAGGATAGCTAGGCCTAGGATGAACCGATCTATAGGTGTGTTATTATACAGATATTACCTGCTTAGAGGTGTAATATAACATTTGATATCCCCGAGGGAATTATACTTTTTCGAAGGATTAGTCCTGAGAAAAAACATAATTCCCAAGGGGATATCAAATGTTATTATTACACCGATAGAAAAGGCAATATCTGTTATATTACATAGCCAAAATTACTCCTCTAAAAAGCAAATATTATTGGGAGGCGCTGGCCGTTTTATTCTTCAACAATGTTAAGCGGAAATTATTTTAAATTATTATTTTTAGGTAAAAAGTGCACTGCACGCAATCTGTATTGTAAGAGCGAATGATTACATTCCAGACATAACAATTTCGTAAAGCCTATTTACTTACAATGTGGTATGCCTTCCAAAACCAGCATCAATGGCCAAAAATAATACAAATTTACTTTTCAATTTATCCACATTCTCTCCATTTTTAAAGCTTTAAAATGATGTGTCATAGCCGAATGACATATTATTGCTCAAATTTTGAAAAATAATATGGCTTCACTATTATACTAAAGCCTTGCTTCCCAAATTTTGTCTCTGGAACCAGGTGTGATCTCTCACACTCACCACAATCCATCTAATAATTTGATAGTAAGTTGCACATCGATCATTAACCCACCCCAAATTTTATGTTTTACATTTAACAAGAAATATTTCCTGTAAGAAAACGCGACAACACTTTTACCTTATGACTGGTTTGTATTTTGAATCTTAATAAATTATTAACGTATACTTGAGGATGACCAATATCATCTTCAATGCATTTCTTTTATGATATGACACATAAACATCCGCATTGATTAGTTCAAATTCCCACTCCTTCGTAGTACCGCTACCTACGGTTTCTTAATGATTTCCTCTTGATCGTAGCAGTCTAAAGGTGTGGCACGAAAAAAGACTACTTGACATTGGTATTATAGCCATTTTTGTTTATGGGAAATTTCAGACTAAGGACCACCCATATTAACCCACCACCATGGTTGGGGCTGAGGTAAGCAATTTTATGATTATGGCACCATCTACATGCCCGGAGATGCACTCTCAGACTTTGAATACAATTTTCTCTTTTTTCTTAGTTTCAACCATATGGTTACTATAATTGTACCAACACAATACAGAGATGATATTTTAGTTGTATTAATGTTTGCATCTTCAGTCGTCACACATTTGAAAATTATTTGGATAATACTATTCTTAGTTTTAAATTTATTTCTAATAAATATAAATAGTGTTTAAACAGTGGAAAGCTTAGATTTACACAATTATGCTGTGGTGAATGACAGCAGAAAAATAATTGCCGCCATACAAATTTATAGATATCCATTATAGGCATATAGTATAAAATATTGCTCTAATGAGTGTTCACCTAAAAAAATCTGTTTTTAAGTCATCAGATCTGTTAAACTTTACATCATCTGTAAATGAGCACATGAATTGTGTTTTAATTGCAAACCTGCCTGCGACCCACTTTTGGGCATACCTAGTTTGGGAAGTGTGGTCTTACCGCTAATTCACGGAAGGAAATGCCTAATACAGGATGGGAATGTATACAAGCCTGCACAGAGAGAGTATACTGTAGGACAGTCACAAACTGGTTTTTCCAAACCATCTTGATATCATCAAATAAAATTATTGAGGAAACTTTTGAATTCAAGGTGGAAAATAGGAAAAATTTGGAATATGTGTTAATTGTCAAAGAGTTATTTACACATTTGTTATAAAATCATTGCAGGTAAGTGGACTTCAGTTCAGTATTGACTCCTAACACTAGGCTAACTTTTACATATGGATCCATTTTTTTCTTACTGTATGTATCAAGTATCTTAGAACTACGGCAGGCAATTCATGGGTCATGACACGTTTGGGTCGTGAAGTTTTATAGAAGGGCGTCAGGTCGTATCTGGATTTAAAGTAAATATATAAACAATTGTTTGAATATTGTTTTGATGTTTTTCTCAAGATTTTTTTTTGTGATAGTTGTGAAGAATCTTATTTTGCTTATGTCTTCTTACAATTCAATTAAGTTTGCAATAATTTGGATAATAAAACCAGAAATTAAAGAATAATGTTACAAACCTAAACCAAATCAGAAAGCAGTAACAAAAAAAAAACAAAAAAAACCACATTGATCTCAACCAAAGGATACAATTTCATCTTTTTTATCAAATGATGACTCTTCTGTATTTTTTACATACTGCTCTACTTTACGTTCGCTAAGAATTTTGTTTAATAACTGAATACCAACAAATTGTCCCCTACCCACTTTCCAACTGCAAGAAATTTCATAATCAAGAATACCTTATAGCTAAAAATATTGACGCAATAAAAACATAATTGGTGTTTTGTAGAACCATGTACTTACCATACACATAATTTCTTACAAAATAATGTTGCTGCGACCTTAAGTTAACATCAGTTTCTGTCATAACAAAACTACAACGTTCACAAAATAAACAAAATTGATAATTTTTAAACGATAAGTCACTTTTATTGGGCACTACCTCATTTTAATAGACCTACCATACTTTTAATTATTACAAATTGTATTTCTACCTTCTTTTTTATGTTTGTTTCAATTGTTGTTTAGTATATTTTTTCTATGCCTAATCAATAAAAATAATCCAGTTCAGCCAATTATATCAAGAACAATCTTTCATGAAAGAAAAGTGACCCCTAAACTTATTAGTAGTGTCCCAATTGAGATGTTCTACTGAGTGTCATCTCTGGACTTTTCCAAGAGGTTGCATATCATTCAAAGTCCAAGGAAATTTTAAAAATGGGTCTCGTGGAAAAGTGTGGGAATGATTTTTGGGCCTTACGGGATAAAAGGTTGCCTTAGAGACTTAAAAAAAAAATACAATTATCTAATTATTATAATCATCAAACACCTTAACTGTAATTGTCCTTCTTGTATATCTGGAACCTCCTCTATTTATTTAAAATGACTAGCTTTTAAGAAGTCCTATGAATTTTTGAAGGCAATAAATAAATTACATTAAATTGAAGTAGGTTTTTTGATGAATTTTTTTTCAGTTTTTATAAAAATTTTGATTTTGCCTCCCTGACATTAAATATTAAAAATATACCATCTTTATATAAAAAAAATGTTTTATCTAGAAATGCAAGGTACTGAAAAAGATGTAAAAATAAATTAAAATTAATAGTTAAACAAAAGAAATAGGAAAATATTTGCAGCAGCAGCTCCAATACTATATTTTGTATAGTAAAAGGAGATGATCTGTAGATATAAACAGGCTAAACTAACTCTATTTTTCATAACTTTAAAAGTACTATCTATAACTTCATCATTTTCAACAGACAACTTGTACTAAATCCAAGTAGAGTGCATGAAACAAGAAGATATGGATGAATTTAAAATTACTATGGAGGGAGAACCAAGAAAAATAAAGTGAAAGAGGAAAGAAGAAAACGGAAGCATTCTACCACCCAAAGTTCATGAACTGTAAGAAAATGAGCATGAAATAATGGAACAAAAGATTTTTGTAGATATGGATGAACTTAAAAAAAACGTTCATGAATTGAAAGAAAACGAAAAAATGGAACGGAACCCTGGTGGTGATGATATAAAAGAAGTTAAAGTTACTCTGGAAGAAGAGCCAAGAAAAAGTCATTTTGAAGAAGAGCCATTGAGATGGGATGGAAACAGAAGAATTTCTCAAAGGAACCAGAATGATAATCAATTCAAACTGATACTGGAACGCATTGAATCTGAGAAGCTGGTCCTTCAAACAAAAGTTCAAGAACAAAAAGAACTGATAAAGACTCTGCAAAATGATCGTAAAAAAATGCAACAGAAATTATCTGAAAATAATGAAAAATTAAAAAAATTGAATGATGATGAGAATGAGTTTATAAAATGTCAGGTAAACGAAATTGAGGAAAGGGAAAAGGTAATAAGTAAGATAAATGAGGAAAACTTATGCCTTCAAAAAAAAATAAAAGAATGTGAAAAATTATTAAGAGACAAAAATTGGGAAATAAATAATATGAACATTAAATTGAGTAAAATTCAAAATAGGTATACTAACGAAGAAAACTTTGATAGGAGTGCTGAAGGAAAACAAAAGGATAATGAGGATCTAGGAGCTCTAAGGTTTAACAAAGAATTAAATGAAGATGAAATATTAGGAGACAATGAAGAAAAAGACAAACAGCTACTACAGGAAAAATATACTTTAGCTGTATATATACAAGAGCTTAAAAAAAACATACGCAAAAAGAACAAAATGATTACATGTGGAGTGACAGTCATCATACTCATGACAGTATGTATGTTCATTATGATCTTATTTCTGCTCTATATTGCACTACACTATTATTAGATTTAAAAACATTTGGGAGATTTTTTGCAAGCTTTTCATACCTCCATCAGCATTGCAGTAGTTACTAGAGCAGTCAATCCATTTTGCTGCCTAAAGTCGGTTTTCCACTAGGCGAATTTATTTGAGCGAATCGAAGGCGTCGTTTCAGTTCCTGAGCTCTGAATGGCTGCGCATTTTTTTGCCTCGCAAAAAGTAGAAACTGTTCGAGCTACCAATTTTCGCTGAAGCGAAAACTCCGATAGAAATGTGAATGCACATGTACATGAACGACGTCTTCGATTTGCGTGAATATATGGTGGGCGATTCCATTATTTTCGGCACTGTGCCTGAATTCAGAACAATAAACAGGCCATGTATGATGAGTGATTCCATTATTTTCTTTTATGCTTGAGGTTAAAAAATCAAATTTCTGTGAGTTTGACCTTGTCTTTTGAACTTATTCCAAAATTTAATCATCTCTTTCTTAAATTATTATGTACCATTCCACTAAATTGTTACGAACCATTCCTTAGTTTTAGTGTAATCTTGCTAACAGATAGACAGTGGTGAATGCATGACCTTCTTTAGCAGAGGTAATACGCTTATTTCCTTGTAGGTGCAATGTAGTGATAAAAGCTATTGTATATGCGTAGTAAAGTAGCTCACAAGTCATGCAATCATAGTGAATGTAGGACATAAACCACCCAGGACATAAACCACCCAGGACATAAACCACCCAATTGGAATATACCATTGTTAAAGTGGGTGGGCAACAGGGTGAACAATGTTGGGTGGTCTTGCTTTTATCT